CTAGCACTCTACCACTTGGGCCACAGCGCCACTTCCGGCTTTTTTTTTTTTTGCTTATGTGGTGCTGAGGAATCGAACCCAGGGCCTCATGCATGCAAGGCAAGCGCTCTACCACTGAGCCACCTTCCCAGCCCCTAAATTATTATTTTTTTAATACTTCCAACGTTAATAATGGGAGGCTGGAAGCAATTGGTTTTAAAAGGTAATCAAAGTACTTTGTGCCATTCTGTATTGGAAAAGCACTTTCAACTCTACTGGTAATCATGTTTACCTCCAACTTCCCACAACATTTGGTTCCACATGACTACATCACAAAATGAGGCTTGGGAGTGGGGAAAGGGTAGGTTCCAAGTTCGACTCCCATCCTGTGTAAAAATCCCAGTGCCAAACAAAGACCTGGAATTGATACTGGGAATCTGTATTCATAAGCCTCTCTGTCTTCCAGAGAAAGGAGAAGTAACTCTGGGATAAGACTTAGGTGTGCAGAATTAGGAGATGGTGGGAGTAACGTGTGATAATGCAATTCTATAATCCCAGCAATTGGGAGCCTGAGAGAGGAAGATCATGAGTTCAGTGCCAGACTGGGCTACACAGTGACACTCTCAAAAAACAAAAAAGGATCCTATTTTCTGCACTGTAGGGAAAAAAAGAAAAAAATCAGCAAATGTTGCCCTATTTACTATTACCTGGGAATGTAGGTTGGATGAGAGAATATGCTTGAATGTATGGAAACTGATCCTGACTAAGGCAAATACTGCAACTATTTGAGTACTTCCAGAAAGCCAAGGAGCATAATAAAGACAACTAGGTCTTGCCATGACTTTGAGCCATATCCTCTTCCTTCATTCTACAGCTTGTCGCCAAGCTAGTCAAGTGTTGGCTGGTAACATGTCTTCCATGATGTTTTTGTTATTTTCATTTATGGAAGCACAGAGCAAATAAAAATACAACACTTCTGCTTAAAATATGTGTTCATCTTAGAAAACATGAAAAATGGAGAGAAGGACAGAGAACATTAAAAAGTATTCATACTATGGTGTATTTAAAATCACTAGTAATCCCAGTATTGCTGCTGAGAGTCCTGAGTAATGAGTTACTGAGCTTTTCTGGACCTTAGCCTCCATGTCAGTACAAAATGCCAATGAGAAATAAGTGAGAAATAAATGCCATGAGAAATAAATGAGTTTATGCATTAGGAATTGAAACTATAATATAGAACCCAGAATCGATTACATATTAATTACTGATCTTATTATTTGGTTATTTTATTTTCTTTTCCCCCAAATAAATTAATACTGTAAAAAGCTGTACAACATATACAATTAGTATTTAGTGTTCAGTACCATGAAATGATTCTAATTCTCTGTTTTAGTATCCATTCATTTTGTTTGCCCCACCAGAGGCAAATAAAGCACAGGCCAGGATGCGGTTTTGAAGGCACAATCATAAGTGGTCCTGTCACATGAATGGAAATGGTAGTTGAGACAACAGTACCACACGCCAGCGGACCAGAGGCACCCATGAGATGTGGGTGGAGCGAGAAGGAGGGCAGCAGCACTTGAGGAGCAGCAGTCAGCGTACAGTACCTCATGTAAGCGGCTTTTTCCTCTTGGGACATGTTATTCAAAAGAAGTTCCTTCAAGGTCAGAGTATTTTCAATCCATTCAATTACTCCTAATCTGTAAAGGAAAATAGAATTGATCAATAAATGCAAACGCAGTTGCTCTTTCTTCACTAGAAAAAATGTTATGGAGACTGAAAACAAAATAGATTTCTCCCTATTCGTTCTTCACATCTTCCTTGTGCAGATCCCACTGCCTCAGACTGTTACATCCAGCCTGCACTTGCTGTGTAAGAGCTAAGGCACTGACGTGTCCCACGTGCCAAACCCACCTCAGGGCAGAACAGTCCCGCAGGACCAGGCGCAGGGTTCTTCATGTTCCTGGTTCTCTCTCTCTCTCTAGGCGCAGGGTTCTTCATGTTCCTGGTTCTCTCTCTCTCTCTCTCTCTCTCTCTCTCTCTCTCTCCCTTCCTCCCTCTCTCTCTCTCTCTCCTTCCTTCTCCCTCTCCCCATCCTACTTTCCCCAACCCCCTCCCTCTATCCATCTCTGCCTCCTCTCTTTCCTCTGTCCCCACACATACACATCCACTGGGGCCGCACCTGGAGGTCATGGGTACAACATGGTACGTCTTTAACTGCATGTTTCTTTGACTGCAAGCAGCATCCCGGGAGAGGATGACATTCATGACCTGGAAAAGCTGCTCGATGCGCTGGTCCTGCCGAAGGTCCTCACCTCCCTTCACAAGGAAAGGGTACTCCTTCTCATCATGGCCTCGGATGATGATGCGCTTCGGTTTTCTCAAGGAAGCCATTACTTTTACCTTCAAAAGTTAAGAAACTATTCATGTTTTTTGTTTTTTTTGCCAGTCATGAGGCTTGCACTCAGCCTGGGCACTGTCCCTGAGCTTCTTTTGGTCAAGGCTAGCACTCTACCACTTGAGCCACAGCACCACTTCTGGCCTTTTCTGTTTATTTGGCACTGAGGAATCCAACCTAGGCAAGCACTTACCACTAAACCACATCCCCAGCCCCTGCTGTTGCATTTTCAAAAAAAAAAAAAAAAGGAACGGTCTCACTTTATGGAAATCTCTGGACAGTGAAAACTTGGAAACTCATTTTTAAGATACACTATCTCTCAACATTTGTAAGAACACTCAAAGTTTGTTTTGGGCTTGTTCCCTTGTTCCTTATAATGGATGCATGGAACTTACCATGTGAGTTTACTATATACCTTAAACATGATTGACGTTGACACACTGGCAACATTATAGAAAGAAATTTAGTCAATAGTAGAGTAGGAAGATCTCATAAAATCTGAGACCCGCATGGGAAATTACCCATCCCTTTACTTAATAGAGACAAACACAACACTCCCACATTAACATTGAAAGTCCTCACCACAACGAGAGTGGTCACAGACCCTCATACCTACCCGTTCATCAAACCCAGAGATCCGTACATGGTATTCAGGCAGTGGCTTTCCCTTGCCATCATATTGACCTAAAGTAAACCACAAAGCCTTGCTTACATATATACTAGTACAGAGTCTGCATGTTTTAAAGTTATCTATTGATTTACTAAAAATGTTCTTTGGACATGATCAATTTATGACTTGAAGTATTCATTTAAAGAAAATGTACTTACTTTTTAATGCTATGTCAATTTAGCCAATTAATGGAAGATAGTTTCCTATTCCAGTTAGACAAATTTCTTTTTTTGGGGGGAGGTCTGGTCATGGGGCCTGAACTCTGGGCTTGGGTGCTGTCCCTCAGCTCTTCAGCTCAAGGCTAGTGCTCTACCACTTGAGCCACAGCGCCACTTCCAGCTTTTTTCTTTTTGCTTATGTGGTGCTGAGGAATCGAACCCAGGGCCTCATGCATGCAAGGCAAGCGCTCCACCACTGAGCCACCGTCCCAGCCCCTAGAAGCAGTATATCTTGGAATGCATAAATTTTTTCTTTGTATTATACTTAAATAATCTTGATCAAGATTTTTTTTTTTTTTGGTCACTTGTGGGCTTGAACTCTGGCCCTGGGCACTGTTCCTCAGCTTTTTAGCTCAAGCCTAGTGCTCTACCACTTGAGCCACAGTACTAATTCCAGTTTTCTGGTGGTTTATTGGAGATAAGAGTCTCACAGACTTTCCTGCTTGGGCTAGCTGTGAACTGCAGTACTCAGATCTCAGCCTCCTGAGTAGCTAGGATTATGGTGTGAGCCACAGGTACCTGGCAATATCAAGGCTTTTAAAAGTACTTAATAGCTATCAAGATATACCTGAACAGCATTAATTTAAAAACTTTTCGGCTGGTCACTAGTGTAATCCTAGCTTTTCAGAAGCTGAGATCCAAGGTTTAAGGAATGATGCCAGCCCACTCAGAAACGTCTGAGAGACTCCAATTAATCACTAAAACCTCCAATTAATCACTAAAAACCTGAAACCAGAGCTATAGCTTGTAGAGCAAAAAAAGCTAAGGGACAGTGTCCAGGCCCTAAGTTCAAGCACTAGTACGTAAACTTCTCCCTCCCCAGCAACAAAAAAAAAAAGTCTTTATCTTAGTCTAGAACTAATTCTACAACATAAACCTTTTATAAATGAAAGACATGCTTTAAGATAAGTCCACTACCAAAAAATTGAAATGCACAAAACAGTTTAATCTATAAGTTGGTTACAGTGTAGAAACCAATGGTAGAAAACTTGCCTTAGCATGCCTAAGGCCTTGGTTTCTATTCCCAACATGATGTACATACAAAAGTTACCAGTACAGTCCAGTAGAAGTATAGAAAACATTCTGCTGGGCATCGGTGGCTCAAGCCTGTAATCCTAGCTACTCAGGAGACTGAAATCTGAGGATCACAGTTCAAAGCCAGCCCAGGCATGAAAGTCCATGAGACTCTTATCTCCAATTAACCACCAGAAAACTGGGAGTGGTGCAGTGGCTCAAGCAGTAGAGCTTTCACCTTGAGCTGAAGAGTGCAGGGACAGCGCCTAAGTCCAGAGTTCAAGCCCCAAGACCGACAAAAACAAAACAAAACAAAAAATTATGCAATTTTTACAATACAATGGAAAGATTTGTTATTTTCCTAATGTAACCAGTAAATGACAGTATTGAAAGACACAATATCTTAAGAATCTTCTAAAGTGAAAATTTAAGCAATTTATTTTGGTAGTTATTATATAAATAAGTTAATTAAAATTATTTGTTGAGCTCATACAAAGTACAAATTTCTGGACTCTTCCATAGTAAACATAGTACTGGAAATTAAGTCCCAAAGATTTCATTCCCCAATGGAGTGGTGAACATTTTCTGATAGTGAATTGCTTTCCAGACAAGGGAAGAATTAGTAGTCAGTGTATATGGACACATTTTTAGAGCAGAGTCTTCCAATGCAGGAAAAGAGTGGCCGTGAACTCAAAGGGATTTCTGCAGTATTACTGAGTGCAATTTTTCCAAGTAAGGCTATTTTAAGTCTCATAGAGGTACGAGCCACCGAAGGGTAGGAAAAAGCTGCTATTGAAATGAAACCCTTACATGAACAAAGCCAGGTCCTGTGCTGTGAGAAGCCACATCCAGTTCCCACTCCTGGTTCTTATCTGCACTGGGCAAGGCAGCTCTAGCTTGGCTTTACAGCAAGGTTCTGACAGCCTGGTCCACAAGCCACATCCAGCCCACTGCCTGCTTTTTATACATGGGGTTTGGCTGGACGCTGCCAGGCAGGCCCACCCGCCACAGCACTGTCTAGAGCTGCCGTCCCACAGAGACCACAGATGCAAGTTCTGGAAACAGACTCACATGACCTGCAGAGCTGAAAATGCAAGTGTTTAATGAGAAACTGTGTGGGCCCCTGCTCTAGCAAAAACTAAATCCAGGCACAGTTTTAATAACAGTATTTTGAAATTTTGTAACAGTTTTATCATTTCTAAACCCCATTAGTTTTAAATTCAAACTAGTACCTCTTGTAATTACAACTCCTGCTGTCTATTCAAGGACTTATAGCACACAACAGGATGTGAAGTAAACTACGCAGTTTGTGTGGTGTTATCTGCACTTTTAAAATGTCTATGTAGAGGCTTATGAGGCTTAGTGGTAGAATGCTTGCCTAGAATGCACAAGACCCTTGGTTTGATTCCTCAGTACCACATAAACAAAAAAGGCTGGAAGTAGGGCTGTGGCTCAAATGGTAGAGTGCTAGCATTGAGCAAAAAGAAGCTCAGAGACTGGCAAAAAAAAAAAGATGTCTACCCAGTCACATGACATCGTAAGTAGTCCTGATTGTTCCTGCATTCATGTCTTTAACTCAAACTACACCCAATGACCCACCCAAAGAAATCTCTACTGATCAAATTTATCCCATTCAACCAGATGCCAGTGGCTCATGCCTATAATCCTACTACTCATGAAGCTGAGACCTGAGAATCACAGTTCAAAGCCAGCCAGGGCAAGAAAGTCCATGACTCATCTCCAATTAACCATCAAAACACTGGAAGTGGAGCCGTAGCTCCAGTGGTAGAGCACTAACCTTGAGCACAAATGCTCGGGGACAGTGTCCAGCCCAGGCACATTGCTACTAGGTCTTGATCTCAGGGCCTGAGTTACTTACAAAGCAGTTATTTACAAAAAACCACAATGTATGAAGATCCTCTTTTGTCTTGAAGATGGTGGGCTGGACAACACTGCCAACCTGAGTGCCAGGACTTCTCCTTTATGCCCTTAACTTTCTTCATTTTATTTTTTTGGGGGGGGCGGTCATAGGGCCTGAACTCTGGGCCTGGGTGCTATCCCTCAGCAATTCAGCTCAAGGCAAGCACTCTACCACTTGAGCCACAGTGCCACTTCCAGCTTTTTTCTGCTTATGTGGTACTGAGGAATTGAACTCAGGGCCTCATGTATGCAAGGCAAGCACTCTACCACTGAGCCACCTTCCCAGCTCCTCTTCATGTTTCATGAATAAATGTTAGTTTGACAAAGACTGGGGGAAACAAGTCAGTGTAAATGAATGGTGAAAATGTTTTGGACGACTGGAAGGAGGAAGGTCAGGGAAGGCACTAAGGAGGAAAGCATGCTGGAGACAGTGCCTATATGTGCCTATGTAGGCGAGGAATCACATCAAGCCCACTGCAAGCTCCACTTGTCCCAGGACTCCCTCCAAACACAATGGTTTTCCTTCAAACTCTAGAATTTTTTTTTTTTTTTTCGTCAGTCACGGGCTTGAACTCTGGGGCCTGGGAGCTGTCCCTGCACTCTTCAGCCCAAGGCAAGTGCTCTATCACTTGAGCCACAGTGCCACTTCTGGTTTTCTGAGTGGTTAATTGGAGACAAGAGTCTCACAGACTCTTCTGCCTGGCTGGCTCTGAACCGTAATCCTCAGATCTCAGCCTCCTGAATAGCTAGGATTATAGGTATGAGCCACGAGTGCCCGGCTCTAAAATAATTTTGAAAATATATATCTTTTATCACACTGTTCTGTGAGCAGATTTTTATAAGTAGTTGTCATATAATTCCTGACCTTAGAAACTAAGTCTGTCTTTGTATCTACAAGCACTTACTCCTGTGTAACAGTGCTGCTTGGGAATATTAATCAACTCAACTAAGAACAAAATATTTTCTTGATCCAATATCCAAATCATCTAAGGAATATTAAGCTACATAACCTTCCGATCTCAGAATGAGCAAGTAGAAGTCTGTATACCTATCCACCACCATCCAAACTAAACATATTCTATCAGCACCTTGCAGAAAGCTCAGAAAGATGTAAAGCAAGTTCATAAATTCAACAGGCATTCTAAAGCCAGAACTGTCAGTCAGTAAGCCACCAAACATGAATAGTGATTTTCCAAGTGGCTGTGGTATAATCATAGCAGTTGTGTTCTTCCTCACCTGAATGAATCGCCTTCTAAAGGGGCCTAGGCCTGGCGACTTCAGGTTGCCCAAAGCTGCATACATTCTTTCATAAAGTTTTTCAATGTTTTTTTGATTTACAGGAATTTTTCCTAATTCATCTTTTGTATCAGCAACCCAGTCCTGTGTGAAAAGAAGAGAAAGAGGGAAAGAAAAAGACTAAGAATCAAGTCAGGCTGCAAGTCTGTTTTTATGTGTCAAAACATGTTCTCCTACCTTAAAGAGAAGATCAGGATTGGAGAGCTGTTCTAAAGCATTAATGAAATCTTGAATCACTCCTCCTTGATCTAACTTACTTTTGATCCTATAAAAAATTTGACAAGTTTAGGTAATCAAAGATCTTCAAAGATCAAGGCATAGATAGATAGACAGATAGATATAATATATACATATATATACAACTACATATAATCACTCACGTATATGTATCTCATTTACTCTGCTTGACTCAACAGATTATCTAAGATCATAATCATGATCATAGGATCACTGAGAAGAGAAGATAAAGTTTTCTGTTTCACACAAAGTTCAAAGCTATTTGTTTCTGTGTGTTTGCTTTTACCATACACCCTTTTTATACTCTGTAGTATGCAATTAACTCAATAGTCTATAATATCACCTTGCCACAAACTCCTTATTCTTATGACCAGCAGAAGTATCTTTAAAGGAATAGTTTTCACTGCTTATTATGAAAGGATAGACGATTGCTTGTGGGTAGTGATTGGCAATCTCTTCCACAGTAGGCTGCACTGCCACAGCTTCCTCTTTGTCCAGTAGCGCCACCATGTGGCTGATCCAGCCAATGAACTGCCAGCAAGGAATGCAAGACATCTAAAACACAGATAGTTGAAATTTAATAATAAACAAAATACTTAAAATCTGTCCAAAACATCATGCATACAAAATAAAATTTCATATTTCTTGGATTTCTTTCAATTAAGTGACTGCTGTATTCTTCCAGACATTTCCTGTGCAAGAGAACACATAGTCTTTGTTTACCAGAATGAATTCAGCCTTGACATATTGCTGCTTTTCATAGCTTTAGCACACTTTTTTTTTGGTCGGTAGTGGGGCCTGGGGACTGTCCCTGAGCTCTTTTGCTCAAGGCTAGCACTCTACCACTTTGAGCCACAGCGCTACTTCCAGTTTTCTGGTGGTTCACTGAAGATAATAGTCTCACAGGGATTTTTCTGCGAGGGCCAGCTTTGAACCATGATCCTCAATCTCAGCTTTCTGGATAGTTAAGATTACAGGCGTGAGCCACCAGCACCCAGCTATTTCACTCTATAACAGCAGCTCACTTTTATTTTTACTTTACTTTTCAGTTGTGGTCTTGTATTTTTGCCTGAGCCTGGCAATGAACCACCATCCTCTTACCTCCACCTCCTACCTAGCTATGATGAAAGATTAAAGGTGTGAACCACCACAATGAGCTCATTTACTGTGGCAAGATCTTACTGTCTTTTTGTCTGAGTTACCCTCAAATTGTAATATTCTCATTTCTACCTCCTACAGAGCTGGGTACAGGTATATATCCCAAAGATATATACCTTTCTGTTAGCTATTTTCTACTGGTCTTTTGTAACCACTTATTTCAGAAGATGCAGATGTTAGTTTTCTGTGTTTCATCTATTTTTCTTAGTGTTCTCTTAAATTGTGCCTATGGCATTTGGCAGATCTTTTAGGTATAATATACATCGAAATATCTTCCATTTAGAACTCAAAGAAATGGAAGTAAGAGGTTTGCAGTTTTTTTTCTTTTCTTCTTTCCTTTTTTCTTTGATTTATTCCCTACGGTCTGTTGCTTTTGATTTTTATACCCTTTGTCTGGTCTAAAGTTTATCTGATTTAGGGAGGGGAAGAGGAAGCACAGAAATGATGAGACAAAAGGTGAACCAATTCAGCAGTGAAATCCACTGGATACTATGTTGTAAATGAACTATACAACTTTGGTGGGAGGGAAGTTGGGAGGAGAAAAAGTGGGAAAGAACGAGGGAGGGGGTAACAGCGTTCAAAAGGAAATGTACTCATTACCTGAATCAGGTAACTGCAACCCCTCTGCACATCACCTTTACAATAAAATTTAAAATTAAACAAAGAGAAATGTCTTCCATTTAATAGCTTCTGGCCTTTGTCTCTAAACTTAGTAGTCATTTGAAAATGTATGCATGCTTTCCTCTCATTTTTTAAAGGAGCTATTTTCAAGGCAAACCCTGATATACTTTGCATTGCTAGCATAAGGAGCTTCCTAGCTGTACCTAGTTAACTGAGGACAGGGCAGCATGTGTGAAGACAGCAGGAGTAAGACCACAAGGTGTCTGTCATAACAACACTAAATAATGTTTGAGTAACTAAGTCAGCTATCCATTCAGTTTTCGGAGATAGGGCCTTGCTATTTAGCCCAGACCTCCCCTGTGATAGGAGTAAAGGTGTGTAAAACACAAATTCAAAATGAATTTTTCCATACATAAATAAAACATTAGGAAAAAATCAAGCCCATAAAGGTTACCTAATTACCTCCTCACTTATCTTTAAGAAAAACACATAGCCAAGAGCTGGTGGCTCATGCCTGTAATCCTACCTACTCAGGAGGTTTAGATCTGAGGATCAAGGTTCAAAGATCGGGCAGGAAAGTTCAGGAGACTCTTATCTCCAATTAACCTCAGTGAGCTGTGATTCAAGTGTCAGAGTGCTAGCCTTGAGCAAAAAGAACTTATGGAGCTCAGGCCTGTAATCCTAGTCACTCCAAAGGCTGAGATCTAAGGATCATGATTCAAAGCCAGCCCAGGCAGGAAAGTCTCTGAGACTCTTGTCTCCAAATAACCACCAAAAAACCAGAAGTAGAGATGTGGCTCAAGTGGTATCACTAGCCTTAGCAAAAAAAAAAAAACTTCCAGACAGCATTCAGGCCAGAAGTTCAAGCCCCAGAACTGGCCAAAAGAAAAAGAAAAACACATAGTTGGCATTTCTGAATTTACTTTACTGTCCTGTTTAAGACCTGTCGGCAAAGCCTACTAATGGAAATCCACAGGAAGTGAAATGTACAGTTAAGAGCCCTGATAACCATACCAGATCTGCACAGCTCAGAGATAGTACTGTTTAAGAACTTGCAACACAGCAGGAGTGGTGGCTCACATTTGTAATCCCAGCTACTTGGGAGCCAGAGGTAGGAGGATCATGAGTTCAAGGCTAGCCCAGGCAGACTCACTCTATCATAAAAACAAAATAAAAATAAAAGAAAGGCCTAGGGTGTGGGTCAGGGAGTAGAGCCTATGGGCAAGGCTCTGGGTTCAATTTCCAATGCTAAGAAAAACACAGAAAATAAATAAATAACATAAAACTTAACAGTGTGCCAGTCAAGCCTTTCTGAACTTATATTTTCAAATCACAACTTGGTCCTATTTTCTAAGACAGACCAAAGATCAATCTAAAATAGATCTTTCTGTAAAATCTCCAAAGCAACAGCTGTGCACTTTCGCAGGTACAGTCTTCCCCACAGACAGTGCCCACAGGGCAGGAGCACATCCAGGAGGTACAGTCCCAGGGAGGCTGAGGAGCAACTCGGGCAGAGGTGCAAGCTGCTCTGTGTACAAACACAAACACCTCACTCAGGTCCTGCGGGCATGGTGCCATCAACAAGTACTAGCCTCAGTGGGAGGTGGGATGCAAAGAAACTTAGTCATCTCCCTTAGCCAAGTAACAACTGAACACAAGGCATCAACAGATGTTACAGACAGCAACTTCATTCATGTGGGCTATACTTGTAATAAACAGCTTGTCTCTGCCCCAGACACAACTTTTTGGGTCCTTGATGTCTTCAGGCACTTGTTCAGATGTAGCATTGTTACAAATATCCACAGAGAAAAATGCGTAATTGCAAACACACACTTTCTCTGTTATTAAAATGTAGCAGAATTAAATGCTGTCTGGAAAAAGCTGCAGCATGTGCAAGGCACTGACTAATGTGTTCTTTTTATTTGTTTTGGTGGTACTGGGATTTGAATCTAGGGCTTTGCAATTGCCATACAGGTGCCCTGCTACTTGAGCCATTAATGTGAGTGTCTTTATTAAGTTCTGGAAATACACTAGGTTACCAACCTCTTTTGTCATTATGCTCAAGGTCTCCTCTGGATACAGTTCTATGATCTGAAGTAGTCTAGGAAACTTGAGTCTGGCTTCAGTGGAATTTAATTTTAAAGCTCTCAACATTTTCTCCACCACAAGTGCTGGATAAGTCTCCAGTTCTACAGAATCTGTAACTTTGAAGGAGAGAAATAGGAAAACAATGATCAACACATCCACTGACAGGCTATCAACAGGACAAATGGTAACAATTTTCCCTTTTGGCTATTTTTATCATGCTATTGTTCTTTTTTCTTTTGTGCCAGTACTAGGACTTGAACTCAGGAGCCTCACACTTGCCCTTAACTTTTTTGCTCAAGGCTAGTACTGGAGCCACAGCTCTACTTCCTGCTTTTTTTTTTTTTAGTTAATTGGAGATAAGAGTCTTTCAGATTTGACTGTCAGGCTGGCTTGACCCTTGATCCTCAGATCTCAGTCACTAGTGTAGCTAGGATTATAGGTA